CCACGCCCGGCTGATTTTTTATTTATTGTACAGATGAGGTCTCGCCAAGTTGCCCAGGCAGGTCTCGAACCCGCGGGCTCAGGCAATTCGCTCTCCTCAGCCTCCCAAAGCGCTGGGATTGCAGGCTGAGCCACTGAGCCCGGCCTGGTTTTATACTTAAATCTCCACGTCTTTAAGGAAGTAAAGATAGGAAAGCATAAAACGTTTTCTATTACTAAAAATTAGAACTCTCAAAAAAATTTTCCACTAAACCTGTTAGCCCTCTGGAAGTTCTTTTTTTATTTTTTTCTGAGTTGGAGTCTCACTCTGTCGCCCAGACTGGAGTGCAGTGGCCGCTCCTGGCCACCGCAGTCTCGACCTGCTGGACTCCGGCGATCCTTCTGCCTTAGCCTTCCGAGTAGCTGGGACTACAGGCGCGCGCTACCACGCCCGGCTGATTTTTTGATTTATTGTAGAGATGAGGTCTTGCTGCCCAGGCGGGTCTCGAACCCACGCGCTCAAGGCAATCCACTCACCTCAGCCTCCCAAAGGCGCGGGATTACAGGCTGAGCCACCGAGCTCGGCTTGGAAATCGTAAAATAGAGTCAAGAGCAGGCATATGAAAGAAATGAAGACAACAGTGCTGAGATGCAGTCCAACGTTTAATGAGGAGGCAGTTATAATGAATTGCTCCCTGACATTTACACGTTTAATGCAGTGTCCCATATATATACAGTTGCCGCTCAATAACATCTGTTGAATTGTATTAGTACGTACACAAATTCACACGTATTAAGACTAAATGTTTTCACAGAAATCCAACCTCTTTGGTATGATCCCTCTCATATTAATAAGTGTTATCCTAAAGTAATGCCCTTTATTATCCCTTGAGGATATCTTTTTAGCCTATAAAAAGTCATAACCAGGGCCCTCAAATAGAAAAGAAAATAACTAACTCCCACTGAGGCAATAGCATTTTTCAATTTACCCCCAAAGCAGAGAAGCCCTCAAAGAGTACATGGAAAATCCAAGTCTCTACATGAAAGCACAGAGCTGACCACAGGGGCATGGTTTACCTGGCTTCATGTACACAGAGCAGAGACTGGAAGATGATGGATAAGCTTCTTCTTGACACTTTACATAAAAGTCACCCTGTGCCGAAATGTAGGACTCTTGAGGTATCCTCAGAGTTTCTGCAGGTCACTTTTTCTCTAGTTCTGGCACATCCCAAGGGCAGCCATTCTGTAACGGAGGCTGCGCCCTGCCCCAACAGATGCTGTCATGACTGTACTGATAGAGGGCAACATCTGAGTGTGCCCGCTCCGACTGTCTGAATACAGTGCAAACAAGGAAGACAGGATGGGGAGGACTAAGGCATCCCTCGTAAACTCTGCTGGCTCCCAGCCAGATGTCTGGGTGCTGCTTTCAGATACGCCCCATGTATACTTAGGGCACAGCCTTTTCTCCAGTACAACTCGTACCTACTAATATCATAGACACTGTGTGACTAATCAAAGCAGTGACGTGGACGTTGAGGGTCATATTTGAGATTTCAAAACCAGAAGAAATCAGAGGAAGTTAAAAGAATATTAAGTACATTCACTTATGTTTGGAATAGAAGCCTGTTAGAGCTAATTTTTTTTTTTTTTTTTTTAGTTGGAGTCTCACTCTGTCGCCCAGACCGGAGCGCAGTGGCCGCTCCCGGCCACCGCAGCCTTGACTTGCTGGGCTCCGGGATCCTTCCGCCTTAGCCTTCCAAGTAGTCGGAATTATAGGCATGCGCTACCACGCCCGGCTGATTTTTTTGATTTATTGTAGAGATGAGGTCTCGCTGCCCAGGTGGGTCTCGAACCCGCGGGCTCAGGTAATCCACTCACCTCAGCCTCCCAAAGGCGTGGGATTACAGGCTGAGCCACCGAGCCCAGCTCGACCAGAGCTAATTTAAATGTTTATTTAAACAAACATATTTTATGTCTAAATAGACCCTATTTTGGCATACATTCATCATCACTTAAGCTTATTTCGCAAACATGCCAAGCAGCTATATTTAAAAAAAAGATAATTCAGATTTGAAGAATTTTAGGGGAAAACAGGCAAGATTAGATCACAATGAAGCAAATTTTTTGCAATAGTACCAATCCTTCAGTTGCTGAGAATTAAAAAAAAAAAAAAAGTCAGGAGTATTTCTTTTGGCACTAGGAAGAAAAAAGTATTAGTAAAAGGAGACTGTAAGAAACAAAGACCATGTCCCCAAATGAGAGGTCTAACAGACTAAGGCACTACTTTCTTCATGCCTGAAAGAATCTCTCAACCACAATTTTGCAAAGCCAGAAATGTTACTTTGATTTTCTGCGAGGAAAAGCATGAAAATAAAGGCACTAAGTAAGTATATCCAGCTTGAAACAGCCAAAGATAACCTGGAGCTCTACTAGAATACATGTTTTTATGACTATAATTAATCCTGAACGACTGAGGAGTGGGAATGGGTTGCTTGCAATGCTAATCCACGTAGGTCTGGAAGATCCACCGACTTCAGAATGTTACCAGAAAGTGGGTGTCCTACAGCATTAATTTCAACAATATAATCTCTCTCTCTTTTATTTTTTTTGGCGTTGGAGTCTCACTCTGTCGCCCAGACTGGAGTGCAGTGGCCGCTCCCGGCCACCGCAGCCTCACCTACTGGGCTCTGGCGATCCTTCTGCCTCAGCCTTCCAAGTAGCTGGAATTACAGGCACGCACTACCACGCCCGGCTAATTTTTGATTTATTGTAGAGATGAGGTCTCGCCAAGTTGCCCAGGCGGGTCTCGAACCCGCGAGCTCAGGCAATCCACTCACCTCGGCCTCCCAAAGCGCTGGGTTACAGGCTGAGCCACCGAGCCTGGCCAACAGTATAATCTTAAAAATAGAAAATATAAGCCTCACCTTCAGATGTACATGTTATAAATTTCCAGTCAACTACAGTTAATGCAAAAATAGCTTTCCTTATACGAATAACTCTTTTCCCATATGTAATAAATACTGAAGGAATTATTTACACTATAATTGTCTTCCATGACTTAAAATTGAATACATAAAGACAAAGCACTGCTTAGTACTCTCAGTCCTAGAAATATGTGAAAAATTGTACTCGTTGCATCTAGTCAAACCCAGTCCAACATTGGGATCAAAGCCACATGTATATTTTAGACATAAATCTCTATAAAATCCATGCACTATACTCAGGAGACCTGAGCTATCAAATATTTACCATCTCTTAATACACAAGTGGTGCTAAACTGTACTGGTTAGTAAACATTAGTCACAAGCAAGTGCCAATATAACTACTAAAATTCTAAGTGATAGAGACAATATAGCCAATGCTTTCAGAATATGCCACACAAGATTTGCAACATCTATTTACGTGTGAATAATTACACTGTTGTATTTTTGTTATAAAGTAGAGAAACATAGTGCAACTGGGCCTGGGAATGCTGCTCTGGGTAGAAAGGTTTATTTTTGTTGGTGGGAGGCAGGTTTCATTAACAAAGCTCTGAAATACACAAATTTCATTCTGATGCTGAATGCTGAGGTAAGGCAAAAAAGAGCAGGCAAAAAGAAGAACCAATATGGTGCTAAAGCATTATGAAGTTCAAGAGAGGAAAAGCTTCAATTTTTGTATTCAAACTTTTCTCTAGTCCTAGGCTTCAGCAATATTATTAGTTAAAATGAAATCTGCAATAAGCTAGTATGTGAGTCTAATTATCTGGAGTTTACAGTATAATTTAAAAATAATTAACAAAGAAGGAATACTTTCAGGTGTCAGCGTTAATAGAAAATTTAAATGATATTAAGATGAAAACAATAAGATAAAATTGGCAAGGAGTATAAAATTATAAGTTTTAACACAGATGATAAATGTTATTGCCACTTCTGTTAGTGGCTTGAAACTCATTCCTGGATTGTTTTCCTCTCCAAATGGGTATTTCCTTTTTTCATGGGATACAGTTGGAGAGGATAGTTCTTCAATGGAAAAAAGTTATTTTCAAATACAGAGTTTTAAAGAAAAATTTAATAAGTATGACTATTTCTTCACAAATAGATTCAGAAACACACAAACAAAAAATGCCCCAAAAGCAAATATGGTCTATAGTGACTCTTAAAAGGCACTTAAAATTTTAAAGTTTAAAAAAAAATCTTCTTACTTAATCCAGTTCATCAGCTCCACTGTATCTGGATCATAGAATTCTCTCAACTCGGAGAGTTCATCCATCATTCCTGGCCAGAACTGAAATTAAAAACAAAACAAAACAAAAACAAAATCCCCCATGCCCACAAACTATGACTAAGATTAAAAAAAAAAAAAAAAAGAGAAACTGCATATTATTTGTGAACTAAATAAACATGGCAACCAGAATACAGAATTACTTCATCTCTGCAATCAACCCTTCTAGCATGAGAGAGCTGAAGTCTGAGAAAAGTTTCTGAAATTATCTTGACGTGAAGCTAATTAGGATTAGAGGTATTGCCAGCTTTCTGAAAAAAGAGCTTTTATTTTACTCTAATAGAAATGCTATTGTATGCGGTGTTAATATCTAGTAAAATACTTTTAATACGACAAGAATGCCAACCACGAGAAAGCTCACAGTCTATTCGGAACACGTGACTAAGTAATACCATGCAATCTACCCTTACGTAGAATGTGCCCTGTGGAAGAGAGCACCCTTTTATAGCTGCAGAACGCTTTTAAGTACGAATCTCATTTTATCCTCTCAATAGCCAGGAGACAGATGATGTGACAGGCACATCACCACTGAGATTCATTTTACACTTACAAGTAGGAAAACCATGGCCACAGAGGTACCCAACTCGATTAGGCACAGTGCAGAGCCATGATTTGGACCATGGCTGCAAATCCAGACACCTTTTCATTTCGTAATATCATGATTGTATTTTTTGTACTAGAAATATGGTTGAATGGCTTGACAAATATTAATATAATTACTGCTACGATGGGAAAGAAGACCATCTGAATGTAGGACTCTCTAGGAAAATCTGGTACAGCTGGCTGTATTTACAGCCACTGGTGCCTCCTGGTTGACTTGAGTTACTCAAGATTAGGCACATACACTATAAAAATTACACTCTGAATTCACCACTTATCTAATATAAGTCTATTTAATTTAGCAATCAATCGTATCTTAGCAACTGTTTTCTCAAATGACTAAAACACTTGGTCGCATCAATATACACCCTAAGGTTCAAGCAGAACTCACTTCACATATTGGCACAGAAGACCAAGGACAAAGTATCTATGTTTCACAGGTGTAGAAAACATAATACTTTTATTTAAGAACCACTAAGTAGAACCAAAGTAAGCACCTCATTGGTCTATGGCTGTTTTAGCCCTATCACTTTTTTTGTCATTTCATCTTTGGCCACTTTTACTGCTCATTCAAATCTTGTCTCCTGGGTGGTGAGTCAGGAAAATTGCTGGTGATGGAAAATCAGGTGTCAGCACTTCTGGTTCTAGTTTTTGGAAGAGATGTAGTAAAACATTACCAATTAAATGATACCTTTGTAATATTTCAATTGTACATTTTTCCTCTTAATTTGATAATCCATAGAATATCAACTTTTTAGTGAAATGCTCAGAATAAAACATTTGAAATCTGTGAACTCAATGTATATTAGATATTTTTCTAGTTTGAAAGTTGCTGTTATTAATTCTGACAGTGTTAAAATCTAGTGAGAGTTTTATGGCAAATCTCTTAAACAATGTGAAAACAAGTGCTGGATTTAACTAAATGCTGTTTTTACCAATCACCAGTAGTTTATATGGGATTTCAGAAACCCAAATAAGTTGATCAGAGTAATAATTTTATCAAATTCTTGGTTTCAGAGTGGAGACTAGCACATGCTTTTTCCCTTTTTTTTTTTTTTGAGTTGGATTCTCAAAGTCACCCAGACTGGAGTGCAGTGGCCGCTCCTGGCCACCGCAGCCTCAACCTGCTGAGCTCTAGCAATCCTTCCGCCTCAGCCTTCCAAGTAGCTGGAACTACAGGCGCGCGCTACCACGCCCGGCTCATTTTGATTTATTGTAGAGATGAGTCTCGCCAAGTTGCCCAGGCGGGTCTCGAACCCACGGGCTCAGGCAATCCACTCACCTCAGCCTCCCAAAGGCGGGGCATTACAGGCTGAGCCACCGAGCCCGGCTCTTTTTCCCTTTTAATAGGATTAACCTAAAGAGAGATATAGTACAATTGGCATTATAAACAAGAAATTCTGAAACCCTAATTTCTTTTTTTTCCTTTTGAGTTTGGAGTCTCACTCTGTTGCCCAGACTAGAGTACAGTGTCACTCTGGGCTGCAGCCTCGACCTCCTGGGCTCCAGCGATCCTTCTGCCTCAGCCTTCCAAGTAGCCAGAACTACAGGCAGGCGCTACTATGCCCGGCTAATTTTTTATTTATTGTAGAGACGAGGTCTCACCAAGTTGCCCGGGTGGGTCTCGAACCCATGGGCTCAGGCAATCCACTCGCCTTGGCCTCCCAAAGTGCTGGGATTACAGGCTGAGCCACCAAGCCCGGCGAAACCCTAATTTCAATTGTGATGTAAAAAACCCAAGTCAGGCTTTGAAATACATGAATTCACATCTCTTACAGATAAATTTGTAATAGTTGGAAAACAGATTCAGTTTCAGGGTAACCCCTAATATATATTACATTTTTATTTTCCCCGTGATCTTACATTTTGCAAGTTTTGAGGAGTAAAATATCTAACCTACTTTATACAGTGAAAAATGAGTGCCCTGGGATTTCTCCTGAAGTCCTATACCAAGAGTGATAAGACCAACATCTTGAAGGATTCTTTACTATACTAATTCTCTTAGGGAAAATCTGCAAAGATTTCCTGACAACAACGGCTTTTTCAGTGCTATCACTGGTTCTTCTATAGGAGTGGAGTAAGAGGAGAGACTTTATCCTCACCCCTGCCCCAGGGGATGTGGAGACATTTGTGGTTGTCACAACTAGGGGAAAGGTGCTAACTGGCATCTAGTGAGGAGAAGGCAAGGATGTTGCTAAACATCTTACAGTGCACAGGACAGTTCCCTAGGATAAAGAATTATCTGGTCATAATGTCAATAGTGCCCCTGCTGAGAAACCCTGTTGAATATCATGGTACACCAGCATCAGCCAGAGGGCTGGTTAAAATACACATTTCTGGACTCTGACCTCAGAGTTTCTGATTCAGTAGATCTGGAGTGGGACCTAAACATCTGTATCCCTTTCTTTTTTTAAAAAATTAATTTATTGTAGAGATGAAGTCTCGCCAAGTTGCCTGGGCTGGTCTTGAACCCGCGGGCTCAGGCAATCCACTCGCTTCAGCCTCCTAAAGTGCTGGGATTACAGGCTGAGCCACCGAGCCCGGCTAACATCTGTATTTCTAACAAGTTCCCAGAGGATGCTGACGTTGCCTGTCTCAGACCACACTTTAAGAGGCAATGCTCTATAGCATAGCTTATTTCTTCTACAATGTCTGTCCTCAGTTTGATTAAGAACAAGAGACTTAAGTCCTCTTTTTTTTTGAGTCGGAGTCTCACTCTGTCGCCCAGACTGGAGTGTAGTGGCCGCTCCCGGCCACCGCAGCCTCAACCTGCTGGGCTCCGGCGATCCTTCCGCCTCAGCCTTCCAAGTAGCTGGAACTACAGGCGTGCGCTACCACGCCCGGCCAATTTTTGACTTTTATTGTAGAGATGAGGTCTCGCCAAGTTGCCCGGGCAGGTCTCGAACCCGTGGGCTCAGGCAATTCACTCACCTCAGCCTCCCAAAGCGTGGGTTTACAGGCTGAGCCACGAGCCCGGCTCTCAAATAGTTTTAAAAAAATCAACAAAATCTCAATAAATAGCTGAGACATAAAATAACAGCCTACACACACACACAGGCAGTGGAAAAGATTGTTATCATTTGCATACATTTTCACTGGTGAGACAGGAACAATGATGAACTGTATCTTTTCTGTGAGGAGGGTGTCTTAATCCTCAAAATCATTGTGTAAAGGCAAAGTCACCCAATTCCTCATGAACTTATCCTATGTTTAATCCTTAACTTTTGCCTTCCAGATGTTTTTGATAAGTTTCACTTATTTACATTAGAAGGATAAAATTCCCAGAGGCAGGAAGGCAGAAATATATGTGTTTTTCAATATCTAGGAGTTAGCACAGAGCTCTGCCCATAATAGTGAATGTTTTGATAAACAAAAACAAGATAGAACATAATTTTTTGAAATACAATACAGTATTTATCAAATATACTTTTTGTTGTCTAAAATCTTTGGTTCACAAAAACTTACATGAAAACATAAGCAAATAAAATCAAAAGCTGAGCTGCTGTACCTGATTTTCTGCAGGTGAAGATCCCTACCCCCACCTTTAATTACCCTTGACACAGTAGAGTCTGAAATTCATTATTCTAACTTAAAATAAAATTTAAAAAAAATCTAAACTTAAAAAATACGTAAGTTTTGTTTAAAAGGAGGGACAAGAGCCTAACTGATAAAACAATCTGTGCCACCTGCCTAGGTGATAATTCAAGACTCTAAATTTCAAAAATGTGACAAAGAGTCCCAAAGCAGTCAACTTGATCAATGATCATTGTATATGACAGAAAATTCTCAGAATTGAAGCATAGCTAATGTTGTTTCAGAAATTAATCAACTGAGAATATGAAGAACTCCACTATTTCCTGTTGAAACTGAAGAACAGAAAAAAAACCTCTTCTTAGACTATATTATTTACGTTTTCAGTTCTCTTATGAAGATAAGCATCTAATAAAATACGAGCTTAAAGTAAGATACATTAAAAATATCTTACTGTAATAAATTAGGTAACAGGAAAATAATCTTTCTACTTTCATTTCAAAATAGATCTGAAAATATCTTATATTCTGAATTTGTATTAGTTGAATAGTAAGAGTTGATTAGAATGACTAAATGTTACAGTAGTTTTTGCTAGGTTTTTATTTGCTAAAACTAATTGGGGGACAGATCAGTTTTCCTATCAATGCCAACTGCAATAAGAAGCTAAGGGAACATTTATAATCTCCACAAACCAGTCTATGTGCCAAATAACACGTAAAAGATACTGAGTCAAAGCAATTAGTCTGCTAAATAGATTAAAGAATGAGAAAAATCAGTCTTACCTTATAGCATAGATACAGCAGTATTAATATCGGTACCGAATACCGCATTATAGATATCTATATAAGAAAGACACTATTTAGATTACAAGTATTTTCAACACTTTTTTTTTTTTTAAGAGTCAGGGGTCTTGCTATGTTGCTCGGGCTGGTCTTGAACTCCTGGACTCAAGTGATTTTCCAGTCTCAGCCTCCTAAGTAGCTGGAACTACATATACATGCCAGCGTGCCCAGCTTTTTGAAATACTTTGCCTTACAGTTTTGCTTTTAAAATATATGCCTTTAAAAAACAACAAAAGGAATTTAACGGTCTATAAGTCTACAATATGCAAAAATATAAGGGTTCTAATCATTCATAATACATTTGTAGCATCTACCATATTGCCAACTGGTGAATTAATAGGGCAGACCAATTCAACTTTGCATCTAAAGGCTAGTGAACATTATCATACTCCTATCAATAACTACTTTTAGGAAAACATAATAATAACAGCTATAATTCTGGATAAGGGGATTGTTGGTGATTTTAAATCTCCTACTGAGTGCTTTTTTTTGTATTTCCAATTCTATATAATGAACATATCTCTCGGTCTGGGAAAAACACATTATTTTAAAAAATAAAAATTTAAAAAATAATTCAATTTTATCTGACTGATGTTTACGTGATTATTAAAAAAAAAAAAAGAATTGGTATGAAAGAAATACTAAAAGTCATAAAAAGTAAATGGAGAAAGAGCCAGCACTGACCCTTTTGGGGGTACAAAGATGGACTGATTTCAGAAGTAACCCCCATATTTCGGGGCTACATAAGCCAAATGATGCAAACACACACATGTGTGACGTCCAGAGATACTTCATTCTGTAAGAAAAGAAATCGGCAAAAATCAGCAAGTACTATTTGTGTATAAACCTGGATTCTGAAATACCTGTAAAGGAAACTTTACAGTTTGTGACAGAAAAATCTTACTTAAAACTATGCAGAAACCATTTGCCAAAGGGTTGTTTATTAATTCCATTGCCTTTTGAGATCATGTAAAAAAAACATAAAGGAATGCTTGTAATTAGGGAAAAACTGACTAGAAATAATATTTCATATTGGGAGAAGATAGTAAGGACAATTTTATGGGAACCATAATAATTAATGAAGATGACTGTCAGTTTCCAAATTATGTTGCTAAATAACATCAAGAGTGGTCAAACTGAAAAATCAATCAAACAAACACATAAGGCAAAAATACCTCATTGTACTCAAAGCCAAGAATCCAAACAGAATGGTATGTGTTAAGTTGTAGGCTGCTTCTGGCTTCAGGTCAATTGTGCCTTTTCCCATTTTATGCATGGATTGTTGATTTGTAGAATTACTGCACAAAATATCAAACATAAAATTTAAGCCAAAGACATAATTTTAATTTTTTTAAAAAATGTAAGAAACACATCCTATTATATATTCAGAAATAAATTATTTCCCTAAGATGAAATGAATTAGCATTTATCAATTTTAATTTATAAGGTTACAAGTGTCATAATATAAATGTGTTAGCAATTAGAAAAACTCGAGCCGGGCTCGGTGGCTCAGCCTGTAATCCCGCGCCTTTGGGAGGCTGAGGTGAGTGGATTGCCTGAGCCCACGGGTTCGAGACCCGCCTGGGCAGCGAGATCTCATCTCTACAATAAATCTAAAAATCAGCTGGGCATGGTAGTGCATGCCTGTAATTCCGGCTACTGGGAAGGCTGAGGCGGACGGATTGCCGGAGCCCACCAGGCGAGGCTGTGGTGGCCAGGAGCGGCCACTGCACTCCAGTCTGGGCGACAGAGTGAGACTCCAACTCAAAAAAAAAGAAAAAAAAAAAAAAAAGAAAAACTCGAGTTTCACAGATGCTCTTAATTTAAGCAAAAAATTAAAGTGCTTCAATTCTTTAAGTAAAAAGAGAATAGCAAAAAAACTTTTTTGAAATCAATGAAGTATTACCAATACTTTATATAAATTTCTGCAAATAAGCAAAAGCAAAGATATATCCATAAATTTGGAATACAGTTCTTTCATGAACCCAAATTGAATTTTTAACCCACCAACACTTTGTGCTGTAGGCCTAACATATGACCTTTATCAAATAAAACTACATTAAGGGTATTACACCCAATAAAACACATTCTTTAATAAAATCGAATACCCAGTTCATGCTTTATCCTCCCTGTTTGTAGCAACTGTTTATTACAAGTGGTATCTTTGAATCAGGAGCTAAAGAATGCACACTGCACTTCACTGACATATCTCTTTAAATATCTTTTGATCTATAAAACCCCCCTCCCTTTTTTTAAAAGGCCATTTATTTGTTGAAGAAAATGTAGCATTTGTCCTGTAACTCCTCCCATCTTCTGAATATGGCATTTCAGCAGCATTTCTAGATGTGAAAAGTGATGTTTAGCAAGCACATTTCCCCATTCCAATGTTTCTTGTAAACTTGCAATTAGATGTTGGAGTCTATTAGAGTCAAGTGTCGAGTTCAATTTTTTTTTTTTTTTCAAGAACACTTCACAGGGTTACAATGTACAGGAGTCCTCTCTTATCTGTGGTTTTGTTTTTAGTTTCAGCAACTGTGGGAACTGCTGTCCGAAAATATTAAATGGGAAGTTCCAGAAATAAACAATTCATAGTTTTGAATTGTGCTACTTACTCTTAGAGTTATATGAGGAAATCTCTCACTGTCCCTCTCTGTCCCACCTAAGAGGCAAACCATCCCTTTCCCCTGCGTATCCATGCTTCATATACTACCCACTCATTAGTCACTTAGTAGCTGTCTTGTTCATCAGATCATCTGTCCTGGTATTGCTTGTATTCAGGTAGCCCTTATTTTACTTAAGAATGGCTCCAAAGCACAGTAGTGATGCTGGCATATTGTTTTAACTGTTTGATTTTATTATTATTGTTGCTAACCTCCTATTTTGCCTAATTTATAAGTTAAATTTTATCGTAGCTATGCATGCATTAAAAAAAAAACTTAGTACACACAGGGTTTCATACACCCACTGGAGGGTATTGAAACATATTCCCCACGAAAAGGGGACTGCTGTACTCCATATTGCATCACACTGGGAAGTACACACTGGTGGTCTCCACCTTAGTGATGTTAAGATTGATGAGTGAGTTTAGATGCTGTGCAATTTGCTGTTGAGCGGAAAAGGCAACAACAGTGAGGGTTGCCAGTTTAAGGTAAAAATATTACTTTCATTATGGCCTTACTGATCCTTCATGCACATTCAACAGAAAGGAATATGCTTGCTGCTTCTCTTTGTAACTGGATAATTTTATTTCCTAGAAATTCTCTTCTCACTACCATGGATACATAGGAAGTTTAAAATGATACTCTAAGCCGGGCTTGGTGGCTCAGCCTGCAATCCCGTGCCATGGGAGGCTGAGATGAGTGGATGGCCTGAGCCCGTGGGTTTGAGACGCGCCTGGGCAGACGAGACCTCATCTCTACAATAAATCAAAAAATTAGCCGGGCATGGTAGCGTGTGCCTGTAGTTCCAGCTCCTTGGAAGGCTGAGGCGGAAGGATCGCCAGAGCCCAGCAGGTCGAGGCTGTGGTGGCCGACCCCTGCAGAGTCTCACTCTGGGCGACAGAGTGAGACTCCAACTCAAAATAAATAAATAAATAAATAATTAATTAAAATAAAGTGATACTCCAAGGCAGTTTTCACCATTGGTGGTAATCTTTACTTAAATGTTAAATATTACAACTCAAACACTGGCTTCCATAATGATACTAAAAGGTTACTCCAGACAAGGAGAACATATGCACTTATCTTCCCTTGGTACCTGGGAGAATTCTGCAATACTTCTCCTGTACCCTAGGCAAGGGGAAGTCTTTTATTAATCCCATGTATATAGAACACAGTGTCTTTTTGATTTATCCTTCACACTAATGCAGATGTGTTGTATAAATGTGACAGTATCATCCTTCCTAGTATTAAAACTGCAGAAATAACTTAAATACTTGGCACTGATAAGATACCCTTCAAGTTACTTAAAGTTAATTCATATTAAGATACAGCCATGTGCCTCATAACGACAATTTAGTCAACGAAGGACCATGTATACGACACTGGTCCCATAAAATTATAATGGAGCTGAAAAATTCCTATTACCTGGTGACATCATCGTTGTTGTAACAAAACAGCCTGTCTACGGCACCCTGAACATACTCAATCTCGTCCATAATGTCATAGCCCAATTACTTTATTTTAAAAATAAATGTAGTACATCCTAAGTGCACAGTGTTTATGAACTCTGTAATACTATACAGTAACGTCCCAGGCCTTCACATTTACTCACTGACTCACTCAGAACTTTCAGTCCTGTAAGCTCCACTCCTAGTAAGTGCCCTATGTAGGTGTATCTTTTATTTTTCAATCTTTATGTCATATTTTTACTGTACCTTTTCTATATTTAGATATGTCCTGTAAGCTCCATTCCTGGTAAGTGCCCTATGTAGGTGTATCTTTTATTTTTCAATCTTTATATATTTTTACTGTACCTTTTCTATATTTAGATATGCTTGATACATAAATATGGACCATTGTGTTTCAACTGTCTACAGCATTCAGTACAGTAACACGCTATACAGGTTTGTAGCCTAGGAACAATAGACTACAGCATATAGCTTAGGTGTGCAGCAGGCGATGCAAGCTAGGTTTGTGTAAGTGCTCTTTATGCTGTTCACACAATGACAAAATCAGTTAGAAAGGCACTTCTCAGAACACGTTCTCATTGTTAAGCGACATGTGACTGAGCTTGATTCCTTGGCTACCTTAATGCAATGCTTTTCCTCTCATAAAGTCCTAAGATCCCGATCTGGGGGATGAGGATGCTCTAAAGCCTTTGGCTGTGACCATACACCAAGTCAGCTTGCAAGACGGGTCATGGATTCACACTGAGCATGGCAGACACTTTCACAAAGACACCGCAGGCCAACTAAACTTCCTGCTTTGCATGCGGTCTAGCATCCTGTTGACACTTGGTCTGTCTGGAATAATATTAAGTTACACTGCCTAGCATAATTTCCATCCATTTTCACAGGGCTAAATTTTATCTTGGGTGAGGTAGAAAAAAGAACACTTCTGAAAGATACTAAAATAGTTTATAGTCAGTGAAATATTTTCATGGTTCAATGTTGCTTCATTCTCAATAATCATAAAGCATCTCAACTAATCTGGAATCATTTTAATGACAGCCCTTGTGGCTGTGAGTCAGAGTTCACCAGCACCTTAACTGGCAAGGTAGCTATACAGAACAAGGGCTTCCTTGTCAGCTTCATTAAATTTTTACAACGGAAAGTAGCTTCAACTTCTCACGTTTAATTTTCTTTCCATCTAATATACATAGTAAACGCAAATCCCCACCAGCTTGATAGGTAGGTGTTGTACAAGTTTTTAAAAAGGCTTTATACTCCTTGATGTTTTCTTTCAGATTAATAGACATACTAAGTTTAAAAGAACTGGCAGTTATTTAAAACTTTTAGTGGATACTAGTAATTAGGGTACACTCCAACTTTGAGTCCTGAAACAAAAAGCAAAAGCAAAAATGAACAATAATTAACTCTTGATATTTCACGAGAAATTTTTTTAAAAGTAGCTAGAGAAAGAAGGCAGAAAAACACAGAATACCAATAATGGGAACAAAAAAGAGACTTATGAGTCAACAGTAAAAATAATACTAACTAATGATAGTTTACATCCATAAAATATTCTAGGCACAAGACACTACTTCAAGTATTTTATGGGTTGGGCTCAGTGGCTCAGCTTGTAATCCCAGCACTTTGGGAGGCTGAGGTGAATGGATTTCCCGAGTCTGTGGGTTTGAGACCAGCCCGGACAAGTGGGCGAGACCTTGTCTCTACAATAAATCAAAAATTAGCCAGGCGTGGTAGTACGCGCCTGTAGTTCCAGCTGCGGTGGCTGGGAGCATGCCACTGCACTTCAGTCTGGGCAACAGAGTGAGACTCCAATTCAAAAAAAAAATGTATGTTGTTTTGACTTATTTATTTTTCACAAAATCCTATAGAGTAAGTACTCTTAGTATTCCCATTCTACAGATAAGGAAAGATAAATACTGAAAGATTACATAACTGGCTCAAAGATCACTTTGCTTCCAAGTATGCAAGCCACGACTTAAACCCAGACTAGTTTGCACTGTGACCATTACTCTTTGTTGTCTCTGCATTATTGAGAATGGAGTTCACTCTAAACTAGGTATGGCCTCCGTTTAAGATGAATACTCCTACTCTGTTCTGCATCTGGTATTTTGATTTCCAGTAAGCAATTCTTCTGCAACATAGAACGAGTTCATAAAAGCAGAGCTTTAGACTTCTGAAATATGCCATACCTGAGATTTTGAAAGGCAACAACGAATGCTGCAATCACTGTGATGAACAGAACAAACATGTAAGCATAAAAAAGCAGAGTATCGGAAAGCCTTTCAAATGTATTAAAAGGCAGAAGACCAAAAGCTTCTTCACACAGATAGAGATTTGCATCAAAATCCCTAGGGAACAAATGGAAAGCAAAGTATTAAATTCAATACAAGGCAAGGAAACTACATTATATATTTCCTCAAAGTGAGTCTGTCATGAATAGTTGAAGGCACTACGGCAACTTAACTTTTAAAGTCTCTGCTAGCCGGGCTCGGTGGCTCAGCCTGTCATCCCGCACCTTTGGGAGGCTGAGGTGAGTGGATTGCCTGAGCCCGCGGGTTCGAGACCCGCCTGGGCAGCGAGACCTCATCTCTACAATAAATTAAAAAATCAGCCGGGCGTGGTAGCGCATGTCTATAATTCCGGCTACTTGGAAGGCTGAGGTGGAAGGATCGCCGGAGTCCAGCAGGTCGAGGCTGCGGTGGCCGAAAGCGGCCACTGCACTCCAGTCTGGGCAACAGAGTGAGACTCCAACTCAAAAAAAAAAAAGTCTCTGCTGACTCGATATAAAATGGCAAACACAGATCTTCAATTCAGCCATACCTTGTTGCTCCAAGCCCAAATTTTGCCTTTAGAAATTTAAATATGTGCTCATCTGACTTCAGGTTAAGAATTTTCTATTGGGGAGAGAGAAAACAAAAATCGCTGTTAGTGCCTTGGGCATGGTTTCCCGATAATTTCCCCTTGAATATGTATATTCAGTGTCCAATTTCACAGGAGTGTGTGTATGTGTGTATAAAATTAGCACATGTTCACAGTAGTTCTCAGAATTGAGGAATTCTAAAGCAGGGACTTTCAAACTCCTTCCTCTCCCCCCCCCCATTTTTAGCATAATCCCTTATTCAAAAAAATCTTATGCATAAGTTAAATATGCAAAATAGGTAATAAAAGATGAGCTTTTTTGGTTTTTGGGAAAAGGAAAAGGCTGAAGCACGGTGAATACAAGTTTTCAGACCAGAAAACCAACAATACAATGATCGGAAACCTCAGACAGATACAGCCCACAAAGCCTGTTTGGCTTTGGGCTTTTGATCTGCAGATACACTGATGCAAGACTCATTCACTCAAAGACAATTCAAGACAGTAGACCCTTAAGAGGTGGACAGACAAGTGCCAGTGCTCATCATCAGTGATGAGAATTTTAATTAACAATTTTATTTTTAAATTATGGCTTAAAAAATCCATGACATAAGTGGTGAACAAATTCTACCAGAAAAAAAAATGAAGATAGATTAAAAAATGTATAAAGCTAGAATTGAGATCAGTACACACAATATATTCATTAGAGATGAGCCACAAATCTGGTCTTGTGCATTCTAGCAGCAAATGCAAGGAGGGAGATAAATGCATTTATGTTACTCACAGGGTCATAAGAGTAAAACAAACCAGATGCTCAGAAGACAGCATGACAGACCTAGAACAGAGACTCAAGAGAAATTTTTCCCTTGAGTATAGCAAAAACAGCAAGGCATTTCAGACTATTTTTTCTAAGTCCTCTCATTGTAGATCACTGGAAAAATATCAAGTGCAATTCACAGATGTTATTCCACGGGGAGTCAGAAGGTGGTGGTCCAGGAATGTAGCTCTCTGCTAGCTGGTTTAATCCAAGATCAGATAACTGAGTATGTCAAGAAGGCAAATGGATGAACTGCATGTCTCTCAGTTAATCTTCCACAAAAATGCTGAATGCTCCAATCAAATAAGTGATATGCAATGAAGTATACAGAGTTTGAGAACACAGTTAGAGACAAGGACCTGGAACAAGGTATGTAACGTGGCTGACTGAGTGAATAGTCTTTTTTTTCCTATGAAAGTCAACAGACAGGGACCAGAACTACCATTCTCTTACAGAGGAGGAGGCGGCTACACTGCAGATGGCTCCTCTTCCGAGCCCAGCTTTCTAAGAAGGGGCACGACCATCCAAAGAAATCATTGTAGCTTTGCTCCAGCATGAAAATAAAGGGGAGAGCAAGGTCTAAGCACTTACGTGAAGGCTGCTCTCAAAAAAAAAAAAGTTCCTGGTAAAAATACTGAACACTTAAAAAATCTTAGCAAAATGGTCAGGCTTGGTGGCTCAGCCTGTAATTCCAGCACTTTGAGAGGCTGAGACGAGTGGACTGCCTGAGCCTGTGGGTTTGAGACCCACCCAGGCAACTTGGTGAGACCTCGTCTCTACAACAAATAAAAAATTAGCTGGGTGTGGTAGTGCGTGCCTGTAGTTCCAGCTACTTGGAAGGCTGGAGGGATCACCAGAGCCCAGCAGGTTGAGGCTGCGGTGGCCGGGAGTGGCCACTGCACTCCAGTCTGGGTGACAGAGCGAGACTCCAACTCAAAAAAAAAAAAAAAAAATCTTAGCAAAGTATCTGCTGGACATATAACAACTAGATACCTACTTAAGTTTCTAAATGAGTTATTCTGCTCATTAAATTTAAGTTGTTAAATATAAGTTAGTTAAATGTTAGGGAAAATGAGTCCAACTCTTTCCTAGCAGGAATGGGATAGCAAGACCGTTTACTTATTACCTGAGCTCCATAAAAATCATGTCATATTTTTTAGTACCATAGTGTACTAAACAGTGATTGTATAGAAAACTGTGTATACTATGGTCCTAAAAAGTAGAGTTTTTGAATTTACAGAAGTATTTATTTAATGCTTTTAAAGTTGAACTTCTAGAAAGGTTAATAACTTAAAAGGTGAGTGAGTTTAAGGTAGAACACGCTGAAGAGTGAATAGAAATCAGTGACAAAAATCAACAAAATAATCCTTGTTACTAAGACAAAGTTAAAACAAAGCCTGTTTAAAGTGAAGCTAGTAACTTCAGTGATGCTAATTTACTGTATAAAGCAAGAATTTAAAATTGAAAGTTTCAAAAAGCCAGGCACAATCCAAACACTTTGGGAGGTGGAGGTGAGAGGATTGCCTGAGCTCAGGGGTTTGAAGATTAGCCTGGGCAACTTGGCAAGATCTGGTCTCTACAATAAATCAAAAAGTTAGCTGGGTATGGTGGTGCACACTTGTAGTTTCAGCTATTTGGAAGGCTAAGATGGAAGGATCACCTGAGCCCAGCAGATCGAGGCTGTGGTAGCCATGAGCATGCCACCGCACTTCAGCTGGGGTGACAGAGTGAGATTCCCACTAAAAAAAAATATGTATCTATATATACACATATATCTATATATATTAAAATATATATGAAAAGTTTCAGAAATTATCTACAATGCTAAAAGTTAATTTAAAAAATACATTAAATATGTCACTTTATTAACTTACCTTAATTATGTTGTTGAGAAAAAGTGTCAAACATAAAACCACAAATAAATGTAACAAAAGTTTCCCAAGTCTATTAAGGAAGCTTCCAGTTTTCAGATTTTTCTAGAAATTAAAAGAGTTGTGTTTTAATTCTTCAACTTTAACATAACTACATAAACATTGACAATGAGATTACTTAAGGATGTAAAACACTGGATTATACAATATAAAGGAAAAATAATTGGAAATATAACCTAATCTTCATGAGGTTACACTGTCTTAATGTCTGTAAATTTTCTAGTAGTAAATGAATCCCTTAATAATAAACTTCATCAGATGAATAAATGTGTCCTAGTCTTTTTTTTTTTTTTTTTGAAAGACCTTTGCAACAGAGTTTTTGTTTTTCAAGGACTTCACCAGCAGAGTATTGGGGTCTGCCACTTGGAAGGTACTCAGAAAATGCTGACTGAACAAATCATTACATTATTTATCTATTAATTCATATATCACAGACATATCTATACCCCAATTAAAGACTTAACAACATGAAAAAATGAATTGTGCTCTTTGATATATACTAGTTTTCTCAGAATCTTCAGGTAACTATATACCAAAAAATATAATATCATCTAAGGAGTTCAAATATGAACATCACTTACAATTAAGGCTAAAAAGATGAATAAGAGCTAATGTTTTTTGATTGTTTTTGTAGAGACAGGGTCTCACTCTGTCATCCAGGTTGGCACACAGTGGTGCAATCATAGCTCACTGTAGCCTCAAACTCCTGGGCTCAAGTAATCCTCTCACCTCTGCCTCCCAAGTAGCTAGGACTGCAGACATGTGGCACCATGTCTGGTTAATTTTTTAATTTTTATTTTTAGTAGAGAAGGGGGTCTTGCTATGTTGCCCAAGCTGGTCTCAAACTCCTGGCCTCAGGCGACCCTTCCATGTCAGTCTTCCAAAGTGTTAGGATGACAGGTGTGAGTCACCATGCCCAGACTGAAGTGCTGTTTCTAACAGTCAGCTAAAAGTCTGGTTTAAAAAAAAGATCTTGATTACAGTTTATCCTCAGCAATTCTCACTCAAAAGACAACAAATTTTCCTTAAAAGAACTTATCCTTCTTAAAGTAGAAATGTTTATAGCATATAAATATTTAAAACAGACTTTGTTAAAATTTAAGGCAAAAACAAATGACTCAAATTTCATGTGAATGTAAGAAGTTTAATTATATAGCAAAGGCAAAAGATTAGGCCGATGTTTTCAAACATATTTTACAATACCCTAGGAAATGTCCCATTATTTTTAAAGGTATTTATTTGGATCCTGAAAATTTTCAAAACAGAGTTAATTGCAATTCACTTAAAATAGGTAACATGCTATGAAAGGATGGAAAAAAAGTAGTGTTACTACATGAAAAACAATAAGGTGTCCACCAACTTGAACAACTGTGGTGAACACCTTCACACAGGTAACAGATTCTTCTCAATCCTGAGTTCACACACACAAAAGTTAAAAATTTTTCTCTTTTATTGCAACTTCAAATCAGTGACAGTCAACGAAGCATCTTCGGCTAATCCCTGAAGTAAACTTCCAGTTCTCTAAATTAGTATAACTGTCAGAACAAAGGGATGACTATGACCTCAGAAAGCTTGAAACAAGCTGGGCTTGGTGGCTCAACCTGTAATCCCGCGCTTTGGGAGGTTGAGGTGGGTGGATTGCCTGACCCGCGGATGAGGGCAACTTGGTGAGCCCTCATCTCTACAATAAATCCAAAAATTAGCCAGGCGTGGTAGCGCATGCCTGTAGCTCCAGCTACTTGGAAGGCTGAGGCAGAAGGATCGCTGGAGCCCAGCAGGTTGAGGCTGCGGTGGCCGGAGCGGCCACTGCACTCCAGTCTGGGTGATAGAGTGAGATTCCAACTCAAAAAACAAACAAACAAACAAACAGAAAGCTTGAAACAGAATGGCGCAACATACACTTAAAAAGCAAACAATACCACTTGTGCTTTCTAGTGGGAATTGGTTCATAAATTTCCCTTGTATGCTGTATGAAAATAAGGCTCAATGAACCACACTTTTTTTGTTTTAGGTTTACTTGGATAAAGGACAAAAAAAGTCCTACCTGAAGTTTTCTTGCAATTAATACTGAAAGGTTAAAACTGATAAGCAATGATCCAAGAATCATGGAATTAAAAAACTGAAGAATGCAGACCAGGAGTAAACCTGTTATCTGTATACCATACAGCCATGTTGCCTGCAACAATCAAAGATTAGATGGTTAAATAAATTTTACCAAGAGACCACTTCATGCTTTCACGTTGGCCATTAGCCAAATACATCTCAGGTTACAAATAAGGCAGAAAACACACTCAGCTACCAGAAGCAGTCTAAAAAAGGAAACAAAATACACATACCAACTGTTTGTTTACCTTTTAACAGAACATTCTAAATCTTGTAACATTAATTAAAAGAGAAATGAACAGGGATTATAAGAAGCAGAAGAAGCAAACAATGGCATAAATGTATTCTGGGACCGTTTGTAATCTTCAGTTTTCTTTTGAATTCATTTACAGTTACTGTTCACAGTCAACAATAAGTACTTTACTGCATTCCATCATGTCCTAATTTTCCATACTATACACTTTAGGACTGTGTCATATATTGCTTCATTTTGTCTGCATGTGTGTGCCTGAACCCCCGGGCTGGGTTAAGAACCCCTCTGGCAACACAGTTTTCCCCTCTTAGTATCAGAGCCGGTAGTGGCTGAGAAAATGAGCCTGGGCATCAGGAATACTTGTATCCTGCAGTCCTGATTCTGGTGTAAACCAGCTGTGTGACCTTAGTGGTTCACCTGGTGAATGGGATATGATTATGTTTTCCTCATAAGTGGCTACGAGGTCTCTTAGAACAACCGGATATGGTAATGCATTAAACTGCTGGCACGTAATAAGTGCTCACTAAGGATAACTCTGATGTAATAAAAATTGTTCACAGGTTGACATTGAAAGAAGCAAAATGCAATCGACTTGAACACACAAAAAATACCACAAAGAACAAAAGGCAGTCCCTAATAAAGAGTTGATACCTTTCCTGTTCATTTTCTTCTTTTAAACTAGGTATTTCCATACTCAGATTGGCTTATGAAAAAAATACCAGTTTTATTCAGCAGCAAATCAGATGTTCCCACGGCTTTGTTCTCTTAACCTCAAGGGAAACAAACCCATATCAAGCATTGAAACAGTTCAGAGCTTTCGCTTGGTATTATTGGAAACTCAGGAAAATGTATGTTGATGGTTTTTAGCATTATAAAGATAATGTATCTTACTGTAGGAGAAAGAGAAAACTCAGAAAAACATAAAAAAGACACCAACTGATAGAAAGGTGTGCTCTAGAGTCAAAATCCAACACTATTACCTATAGAAATATTAATTTCACAGCAGTGTACAATATGTCATATAGAACACTTAATATCACATTATACAGCAGAATTTTCTCACATCAATGGTTACTCTATGAAAACTTGAATTTTAAATGGGTATATAACATTCCACAACACAGCATTATTTGTCTGCTGTGGGACCATTTAGGTGCTTCTAGCTTTTTACATTATTAATGTTATTTTGAACTTTCCTTTTAAAAAATCCTCAGGTCATTATATTTGATTATTGCGTTCACTGCTGTATCCCTAGCACCTAAAAGAATGCCCACTAGAACAGTGTCCCTTAATAAATATTGAAGGAATGAATGAATACATTCATTTCCTTAGGATAGATTTCTAAAAGTAGAATTACTGGTTAGAGAATGAAAACATTTTTTCTTTTTAATAGTTTTATTAGGATATAATTTATAGACCAGGCACAGTGGCTCAAACCTGCAATCCCAGATTTTGGGAGGTGGAGGCAAGAGGACTGTCTGAGCCTCGGGGTGTGAGACCTCATCTCTACAATAAATCACAAAATTAGTTGGGTGTGGTGCCATATGCCTGTGGTTCCAGCTACTTGGAAGGCTGAGGTGGAAGGATCACCCGAGCCCAGCAGGGCAAGGTTGTGGTGGCTATGAATGTGCCACTGCACTCCAGCCTGAGCGACAGAATGAGACCCCAATTAAAAAAAACACAGATATAATTTGTATACTTTCATACTCATTTAAATTACACAATTTGCAACTTTTGATATAGTCACAGCATTGTGCAACTATCACCACAGACTAATTTTAAGACATTCTCATTACTTCGAAGAAACCTCAAGTTTACATGCCATCACTGGCCGTTATCTCCTCCCCTCAGCCGTCGGTGACCATTCATGTACTGTCTCTACACATTTTCATATTCTGGACATTCCATGTAAGTGGAACGATGCAAAGTGAGGTTTTGTGTGACGGCTTCTTTTACTTAGTACGATGCCTTCGAGTCTCATTCATGCTGTAGCATGTGTCAGGATTCTCCTGCACCGAATAGTACTGATCGTACGGCTATACTACATTTTGTCTATCCGTTCGTCAGCTGACGGGCACTTGGGTGGTTTCCCCTTTCGGGCTATGAATCGCACTGTGGTGATCATATTACACATGTTTTTGATGGGTATATACATTTTCACTTTCCTTGGATATATATCTAGGAGTAGGACTGTCACATCATGTGGCAACTCTTACGCTTTAAATCTGAGGAAAGGCTGTTTTTTCTACGTGACTGTACCATTTTACGATTCTATCAACATGTGAGAGTTTCAATGTCTCCACATACTCAACAATATTTGTCATCATTATTATTTTTTTTTAACTTAGGCATACGAGTGGGTATAAAGTGGTATCTCACTGTGGTTTTGATCTTTATTGCTCTGATAGCCAGAGATGTTGAGCATCTTGTCATTTGTTTATTGAACATTTATAAATATTATTTGGAGAAATGTTTATACACATCTTTTGTCCATATTTTATTGTTGAAGGAGTGGTATGAGTTCTTTAGATATTCTGGAAGTCCCTTATCAGATATATAATTGGCAAATATTCTCTCCCACTCTATGGATTGCCTTTTGACTTTCTTGACGGAAGACTTTGAAGCACAGAAGTTTTAAATTTTGATGAAGTCCCATTCACCAATATATATATTTTTTAGTCACTTGTACTTTTTGAATTAGACTTGTTCTACTCCAACGTCATGAAGAGTTATTCTTATGTTTTCTTCTATAAGTTTTATATTTTTAGCTCTTATACTTAGGTCTATTATACATTTTAAATTAATTAGCATGTATGGGGAGAGGAGGGGATCTGACTTCGTTCTTCTGCATGTGAATATCCAGTTATTCCAGCACCACTTGTTGAAAAGACTATTCTTTCTCTATATCTTCACACCCTTGCTGAAAAGCAATTGTCTATTTTTTATGAGGGTTTACTTCTCTTCTCTCAATTCTATTCCACTGATTTCTGGCTATCCCTTCCGCCAGTATCACACTGTCCTGAGTACTGTGGCTTTGTAGTAAGTTTTGACACTGGACGGTTTGAGTCTCCCAACTTTATTATTATTTTTCCAGATTGTTTTAGCTATTCTGGGTCCTTTGTGTTTCCATATGAATTTTAGGATCAGCTTGTCAATTTTCGCAAAAAACCTACCTGGGATTCTGAGGGGGAATGTGTTGAATCTGTAGTTCAATTGGGGAGTATTGCCATTTTAAGAACAGTAAGTATTCTAATCCAAGAACGTATCTTTCAATTTATTTAGGCCTCTAATATTTTCAAATGTTTTATAGTGTTCAGAATACAAGTCTATACCTTCTTTGCTAAATATATACCTACATATTGAATTCTTTTTGATGCTATTCCTTCTAGGAAATGTTTGTGTCCTTTGTTCTCTTTTCTCATTGGTTTGTAAATGTTTTTCTCATTGGTTTGTAGGAATTCTTTAAGGATACTCATTTACAAACACTTTCCCCCCGCCAAAAGATTTATTTTGCCTTTATTTAGGGGTATTTTTTTTGATGCTGGATAAACTTAGAAAAAGAGACAGTTTGTGTAACAACAAGATTGCAGAGTTTTATAAATGTAATGATACTCTAGGTTCAAGAAAAATATTGCTAGTAAGCAGCCAAAAATGTAAATTAAGCAGTATTGTACATTAGAAAGTCCTGGATTAACAGTGGAACAGTTGATATCCCTTCCCAGCTTCTATTAGTACAGTACAATATAGAAACAAGGCAGCAATAATACAGTTGTTGAGCTGCACGTTTCCAAGTATATGTGGATTTTCTTCTGCTTCTGTCACTCCTGGGACAGGAAGCCCAACACCCTGTTTTCCTCCTCCTTATCAGGCTACTCAATTCACACTGAGACAACAAGAATGAAGACCTTTATAATGATCCACTTTCATTTAATGAATATATATTCTCTTCCTTATAATTCTAATAACATTTTCTTTTCTCTAGCTTACTTTATTGTAAGAATATAGTATACAATGCATAACTTACAAAATACGTGCTGATTAATTGTTTTGTTATTGATAAGGCTTCTGGTCACCAGTAGGCTATTAGTAGTTAAGTTTTTGAGAATCAAAAGTTATACATGGATTTTTGATTGTGCAGGGGATGGAGGGGACACCCAACTGTGGTGCTATTCAAAGTCAACTATATATTCATTCTGTACTGAATAACAGAAATTTTCTTCAATGAATCATGAGCATAACTACAGTTAACATTTGCTTAACGTTCACAAAATATCAGGCACTGCTCTAAATAACTCATTTTTTTTTTTTCTGAATTGGAGTCTCACTCTGTCACCCAGACTGGAGGGCAGTGGCCGCTCCTGGCCAACGCAGCCTCGACTGCTGGGCTCCGGCAATCTGTCTCAGCCTTCCAAGTAGCCGGAACTACAGGCGCGTGCTATCACGCCCAGCTAATTTTTTAATTTATTATAGAGATGAGGTCTCACCAAGTTGCCCAGGCGGCTCTTGAACCCAAAGACTCAGGCAATCCACTCACCTCAGCCTCCCAAAGCACTGGGATTACAGGCAGAGCCACCCAGCCCGGCTCTAAATAACTCATTTTAAGCCTAGGTAGTCTGGTTCTAGAGTCTGTATTCTTTACCACTATGCTGTACTGGCTAAAATATAAGTAGTGTCATAAAGACTCAGAACTTTAGTATCAAAGCCTGTTAAAATTGAAAAGGTTTTAGTTCTCCAAGGCAATTACAGCTATCGCCACAAGTTTGTAATTGAACTAATCTTTTCAAAGAACTGGTTTTTTAAAATTTCACTGATTCTTTTAT